GCACCCTAGGGTGTCTTCTGCCTCTGGGGGGCGCGGGCACAGTAAGCATTGTGGAGAAAACGTCCCAGGAGCTTAGACTTGAAGGGTAATTCCTCTGTGCAACCCATTTTATGGAGAGGAAACTGAAGCTTAGAGAAATTGTGATTTACAAATAACCAACTAGCTGGGGCACCTGGATGGCTCAGTTGCAAGAGTACACGATGCCCGATCTTGAGGTCGTGAGTTTGAGCCCCACACTGGGTGTAGAGATTACAAAACAAAAACAGAACAAACTGGTAACAAACCAGACCTGGAATGCTGGCCTTTGGCCCCTGTAGTGCCTTGTTGTTTCCTCGTGTGCCTTGATTCTAGATTTCCTGAGGCTGGTACCTTAAACATTCATCTTCCATAGGACAGAGTGGGCACTGAACCCATTAATTACTGATTAGGTTTCAACCTGTTAACAAGGCTGACCCCTATCTTAAATGGAGGAAGTACACTTGCAGTGTTGACGTTTAGGGATTTGCAGTGCGCAGCACTGGCTCATTTTGGAGTTACTGATGATTTCTGGCCGAGTGTCAAATTACAGTGAGGATTATAATCTAAGAGTTCTATGACGGGTCTAGTAAATAGCAAACCTCAAAATAATTAAACATGTGAAAACCTCTAAAGATCTTAGATCTATTTAAAAACACTCTCAGAGTGGCGCCTGGGTGATGGTCAGTTGAGCGTCCGACTTCGGCTCGGGTCATGATCTCGCGGTCCGTGAGTTCGAGCCCCGCATCGGGCTCTGTGCTGACAGCTCAGAGCCTGGAGCCTGTTTCAGATTCTGTGTCTCCCTCTCTCTGCCCCTCCCCTGCTCATGCTCTCTCTCTCTCTCTCTGTCTCAAAACTAAATAAATGTTAAAAAAAAAAAATTAAAAACACTCTTAGAATGATCTGTTTTAAAAACACATGTCACGGGGCACCTGGGTGGCTCAGTCGGTGAAGCATCCAACTCTTGATTTTCAGCTCAGGTCGTGATCTCATGGTTCAGAAGTTTTGAGCCCTGTGTTATTTCTGTGCTGACAGTGGGGAATCTGCCTGGGATTCTCTCTCCGCCCTTCCCCCTGCTGGTGCTCCCTTGCTCTCAAAGAGATAAACATTAAAAAGAAGAAAAAAACATGTAACAAAGTATTATTTATTGATAGCACCTCAGGTTATAGCGTACAGATGAAACAGGCACTTTCTTTTTTATAAAATTTTTTTTTAATGTTTATTATTTTTGACGGAGAGAGAGAGAGAAAGAGAGAGACAGAGCATGAGCGGGGGAGGGGCAGAGAGAGAGAGGGAGACACAGAATCCGAAGCAGGTTCCAGGTTCTGAGCTGTCAGCACAGAGCCCGACGTGGGGCTCGGACTCACAGACCGCGAGATCATGAGCTGAGCCGAAGTCGGACGCTCAACTTGACTGAGCCACCCAGGCACCCCGAAACAGGTACTTTCTAGTATACTAATTCTCGCTCAAACGAACTTGATACAGTAAATGGATTTTTAGTGTAAATGACTCAGCAGCAGCGTCGGAATCGACTCTTTCCAAACCTGGATGGAGTGGTTGACTAGCTCCCCGGGTCATTTTACATTGTATATGATAAATGCTAGTGTACGTTAGCTTCTCTTACCAGGGATATGTTGAGGCTTATTTGGTTATTTTGTTACGGCCATTTAGGTTTAAATGTAAATGCTTTAATTTGGAGTCACAGAGGTGCTATTTAATATTTCCATTGCTTAAGACACAGTAGTCGATACCAGAAGCCATAGGTCTCATGGAGCTTTCTTGCAACGGGAAGAAAAATTAGTCTTTTCAGAAACATAGCTGAGGTTGAAAATGTGTGTGTT